AGGGTGACCCGCCGAGGGAAGCGGCCCGCGGCGGAGGGAGGGGAAGCCGAGTCCTGGAAGCGGAGCTCCGCGCTGGGACTGGTTCCTTCGCAGCCATTTTCTGTCCAACCAAACAGCCGATTGGAGACGGGAGCCAACCAGGGCTGCATTGGAGGTTTGTGTCTCGCTTCGGCCAATGATCGCTCCTATACCGACTCCACTTTAGCTCGAATGAAATGTCCGTCTCCTCCCGGCGCTGTCCCCGCCGCCAACGCCGCTGCTGCCGGGGGCATTAGCCTCCTTCCCGCCCGGGCCGGGCTGGGGCCGGGCCGGCGCCTGGGAGGCCGCTCCCGCTGCGGGCCAGGCCGGGGAGCGGCGCGGGGCCGCGGTGCGGCTCTTTGTGCGTCGGGCCCAGGAGCGGCGGGACGCGGGCCAGGCCGCCTCCTGCTCGCCGCCGTTGGGCTCCGGGCCGGAGCCAAGGAGAGGGCTGCGAGGTGCTGTCGGGCCCTTCAGCGGCGCCCCGGACCGGCTCCATTTTGTGCGGGAACTAGCCCGGGGGGGCTGGCCCGGAACCTCGACACCGACCCCGCCGCGCCCCGGCCGAAGGAGACACCTTGGCCCCGGCAGCCGCGCGGGGGCTCCCGGGGCTGATCCCTTCCCGCCCGCCCGCCGGGGCCTGGCGGGCCCGGCCGCTTTGTCTGCCTGCGGCGTCCCGGGCGCCGCGCGACGGGCGGGCAGGAGGGCGGGCGGAGGCGTAGGGTGCGGGGTCAGTGGCATGGCCGGTCCGCGGCCGGGCGAGTTCGGGGATGCGCGCCTGGGTCGTCCGCCCGGCACACCGGGTACTGACCGCTCGGCCCGACCGGGTCTTGGGGCCGGGCCCGCCCTCGCCTCTTTCGTGGGGAGGAAGCGAGGTCCCCGGGAGGAAGGAATGGATTTGGTTTACACGTAAAGAATATAGCCATCTGGCGGTTTGCGGTCCCTGGACCTGCCCCGAAGGTGGGAAGGAAGCCTTTCACATTGGACTAAGGTTTTAATCATTAGTGGTGGGAGGCGGGGAGGATATGCCGGGCCCTAAAGAGCAGTAGTCCCCGAGAACAAAGAATTACAGAGCACCCACAAACCGTAATCTCGTTCAAAGTACTGTAACAAGATAATTTAAACAAGATAGGTAGCAGGCGACCTTTTAAAAAAAAATGGCATCCCACTAACCCGCATGTGCTCCACAGTTCCATGGTTCGTGCCACCAATCACTGGGCTGGGTTCAGCTCTCCTAGTATGTAAACTAATAAGCAACAAAGTGAAGAGGTAAACTGATCAATATAAATGGCATTAATAATAGGGATTTTATTTGTAAAGTATTGAAAGTTTAGTCAGAATTCCTTACAAGGCAGTTTTTCCTTGCCCGCTCTCCCCTAGTAGCTTTATTTAAGGATTATATTGATGCAAAAGTGGTTGTTGATGCCAGTGAAAGGGGAAGGGGGTGGAGGGAGGGACTACTGCTTTTCTTGGATACAAATTTGCATTTCTTCAAACATAGAACAGATGTATGCATTCCCTTGAGCTTTTACACATATCGTGACCTGACTTTAAGAAAAGGCAAAAATATACCATATGAGTTGATAGTGTTCTTTAATATATTTGATCTGAATATATACTGAACTGTTCGGGTGAGTGATTGTGGTGAGGTGTGTTTCCCATCCTCCTCCCCCCCTTCCAAGCAAAATACCTAAATATGTATAGCTTCTATATTTTAAACTAAAGTGTTCCGAAGATATATATATATATTTTTTTTTGCAAAGACGCTCAAGGAAATAACTCATAGCTCCAAGGAAGGAATTTTATGGGCAGTATTGAGGTTAAAAAGAGGACAATATTTGAAAAAAAATTAGAAATTGCTTTTAAGATTATAGCAGAGTAGACAACATCAGGCAGTCTTTGCTGCCTGGACCTTTTTAATGGCATTTAAAAAATCCAGTTCGGTGACTACAATTTTTTCTGCTATTTACTAGATTTCATGCTGGAATGCATGTAAATATTTCTTCTCCGTCTAAAATTAACAGTGAAAGGGTGTGTTTTTGTTTTGCCCACGTCGCAACCCCCATTTAATTGTTTCACTTGAGAAAAGGAAAAGAGCAAATGAAAAATGGAGATTGTAAGTAACATTGTACGGGATACTAATTTATTCAGCTGTTTATACCTTAGTGAACTGAAGTGCTATTCAGATGCAATTTTTGCCCAAAATGGTGATGCCTTAAAATTATAAATAAGGGTCTTAATTGATTTTGCTATTTGTATGTTCTCTGGGCAGTGTGCGTATGTTCTCTGCAGTATAATCTGAGATGATATTTAATTTAAAAGCATTATATTCTGAGATAAAATTTTCCCCTTTTTTGGGCCCCAAAATCACTCAAACATTGTGAAAACCATCACCAAAAAAAATCAAATTGATAAGTGAGGTGTTTTGGGTGTTAATATTTTAAATAATTTAGATGTGTAATTTTTTGTCTCTTGCATTCCATATAATTTGGTTCCCATTTTGTGTATTGTGATGAATGTATATAATGAACATGACTAAGTTCAAGGTTATGTTGGAAAAGTAATATCCTCCTTCCTCCCATGGAATGAACTTTTTTGTAAGTTTTCCAAAATAAATCTTTCAATTTAGCAAACATTTTTTGGGTGTCTGCCTTTTGAACCGTTTTTTACCAGGCACTCCAGTGAAGTAAGAATAGTAGGCAGAATCTTTTATCCTACTAGGAAGAAAGCCTGTAGGCTATACATTTTTACCGCTAATGGATGTTTTTCTTTTAGGTTGACATTGGCAAAGCCATCTTTTTAGAGGCATTCTTAAGCACCACTGACAACACAGTTCTGACAGTATTTCATGACAGTAAGTTATGTTTTGTCATTTTGGTTGTTAATTAGATTTGTCCAGTAATTGGTTGGAAAGAAAATTATAACTGATTTATTCTGGAGATTACTGATAGAATGAATGCCTTTCAAGCCTAGACAGACAGTACCTCTTTGCTTATTCCTGTTGCTTCCTTATTACCCAGACACTCACATGTATTAAGGGTTTCCTTTGGGTCCCTAAGTGCTGTAGAGCTATAGGGTAAACAGCCTGTCCCAGCTCTTGAGAGGCTGTCTGTTTAGCTGCTAGGGCTTTAGTTAAATGGAATCCTTAGAGGACAATGATGTGCTAAACTGAGAATGCTGGCTCAAAGTGCAGTTCAAGTGCAAAGGAGAGGTGTGGTAGGCCTGGGTAATTGGGGGTGTCCTCATAGAGGAGGCGTGTAGGCCTCAAACCCAGCCTTGAAGAACAGATGGGATTTGGATAGTGGAGGGCTTGCTGGCCGGGAGGTGGAAAGATGCTATCACCAAAACCAGAGGCATGGAAGCAGGGAAGAGGAAATGATGTTCAGGGGATGAGAGTCGATCTGCATGGTCTGAGTGGGGATTTCACAGGATAGTGCAGTGGAGAGATAGCAGTCAGGTCATCTAGATAACTGAGTTCTGGATCTGCTACTATATCTGTGACCTCAGGCATGTCACAATTTCTTGGAACCATGGTTGCCTCATTCCTTAAATGAAAGAACTGCACTTGGTGATCCTTAAGTAAGGCATATTCTAGCAGTAAGATTTTATCAGCCCTGAAGGTAGAGCTAGGTGAGCAAGAAACAAGTTTAGTTAGGTTATGTGGGGAAGTGCTTTTGTAAAGCCTTGAAAACTAGGCTTTGGCTTTGATGCAGAAGACATTAGGGAGGAACCATTAATAGGTTCAAGAGCTATGTTGTTGTTATGTGCTGTCAAGCTGATTTGACTCATAGTGGCCCTATATGACAGAGTAGAACTGCCCCATAGGGTTTCGTAGCTGTAATCTTTACAGAAGCAGATCACCAGGTCTTTTCTCCTTCTGAGCTGCTGGTGGGTTTGAACTGCGACCTTTCGGTTAGCAGGCTAGCAGCTGAGCGCTTAACCATTGCACCACCATGACTCCTTTCAAGAGCTATAAAACCCGAAAAAAAACAAACCTGTTGCTGTCAAGTCAGTTCTGACTCAGTGACCCTATAGTGCAGAGTAAAACTGCCCCATAAGGTTTCCAAGGCTGTAATCTTATACAGAAGCAGACTGCTTCATCTTTCTCCTGCAGAGCAGCCGTGGGTTCGAACTACCAACCTTTCGGTTAGCAGATGAGCACTTAACCACTGTGCCGCCAGGGCTCCTTGGTATTTTAACAACATTAGTCTTAGAACAATATGTAAGGTGGGTTGGGTAGTAATTCAGTGGAAATAGAAAAGGAATGGCATATTCAGGAGACATTTTAAAAGACAACAGATTAGGTAGAGCTTGAAGGAGATGGAAGAACCTAAGATGACTCTGGTATTTTTAGCCTAGGAGAGTGGAAGGATAGTGTTACTCTTAATAGAATTACAATGGTGGGAAAGGACACCCCTCCTTCCCCCCGCTTTTGCAGAGGATGGGAAAAGTAAGTTTCATTTTCCCATATCTGAAATTTGCAATGGTGGGAATATTAGACTAGATGTTCTACAGGCATAGCTTGCTTGAGTGGCATTGGTTGTAGATTTGGGATTTATGAGCATAGAATTGATATTTAATGATCTCATTAAGCGAGTAAGGGAAGAAGAGACAATGATAACCTTGGATGAAACCAACAATTAGGGGATAGGTGGGGAAGAATAAACCAGGCAAGAGTATTGCTTTGGAAATCCAGGGAGAAGAGAATTCAGACATAAATGTGAGGTCAGCACTACAAAGAACAGTCAAGTAGGATAAAGGCAAGATCATTGGCAACTTTTAAGAGAGGTTTCAGTATTGTGTTGGGGTCAAAAAGCACATGCGTGGAGTTTAAATAGGGAGGAAGAGGTGTGTAAGGACTGTGTTCAGGTAAGAATGACAGCTAACAAGGGTGTATGGAGAATTAAGTACCTATGTGTACTTTTATGTGTTTAATGAAGGAGACAAAGCCTGTTTAAGGAAGAGTGAAAAAGCTGGTAAGGAGGACTGAAGGTGCATTAGAGAAGAGGAATTCTATTATTTCTTATCCTCAAAGAAAAAAGAATATGATCCAGAAAAGGAGCCCTGGTGGCACAACAGTTAAGCGCTCGGCTGCTAACCAAAAGGTTGGTGGTTCGAACCTCAGGAGAAAAGACCTGGCAATCTGCTCCTGTAAAGATTACAGCCTAGAAAACTCTATGGGGCAGTTCTGCTCTGTCACATGGGGTCTCTATAAGTTGAAAGTCAGCTCAACAGCACCTAACGACAACATGATCCAGAAAACACATAAACGAGGTCAAGTGAGAGAGAAAACTCTTTTGTGCCTGGAAAGAACTGTAAGAACTGTATTTGAAGGAACAATAACAATACTAGATTACATTTATTGAGTTCTCACTATGTAAACCACACTTTGCCAAGTGCTTTTTATACAATAGTTTTGCTTAATTCTCCTAACAACCCATTTTAAAAATGGGGAAGCTGAGGTACAGCAGGTCATGAGTAACTTGTTCAAAGACACACCGCGAGTCAGAGGACAGCTGAACTTAGCTTGAAACCTAGTGGTCTGTCATAAGAGACAGTGCTCCTTACCTGTCTCCTGGTTAAGATGAGGCCAAAGCCAGGGTGCATTTTCTTACCATTTCACAAATATTATCCATGTTTAAGAAGTGATTTTAAATGTCTTCAATATACAATCAAAGCTGAAAATTTAGAGGGGGCAAATTAGAGATTTAGTGTTAAAGACTATAGGAAAAACTACCAGGAACCAATACTGTAAACTGCTTGGCATCTGACACTCTGGAATTCAGTCCTGTTTCCTAGCTGTATCATCTGGGGCAAGTCGTTAGCGTTGTATACCTCAATTTTCTCACCTGCTTCACAGGGTTATGAGTATTGCGTGAGATACTTAGAAAGTGTTCAATAAGTGTTAAGCATATTAATGAGGGCACTATTGACTGTATATGCAACAAATTATGAGTACATTTAAAATACTGCTACATCAGAAAATTATAGAATACAAATTTATTAGTTTAGCCAGCTGACCATTTATTTTACATAATATTTTAGAGAACAGTATTATCAGTTCAGCTAAATAATTAGAATAGTCATTAAAATTAATGGGATTTAGTTCCCTTAGATTTCATGATTTATCATTTCACCCATTCTCATTATCCTACATGCTCTTCCCCCTTTGTTGCACATACCTGGATGAAACCTAATTGTGGATGAAATCCAGCACTTAGCTTCTCTATGCTTACACTAGGCTGTAAATGTCGCAACTGGACATACTGATACCACTATAAATTTATGGTCTCCAATGTCAACTATCTTTATACTGCTTAGTCCCCTATCCCTTTTGTCTCCCACTTTCTGCAGTGACAGCCATTTATCTACCCAGCTGCAAGAATCCCAGCATTATCCTTGGTCCTTTGTCTAGCTCGTGTTCAGTCAGTCACCAAATCCTGTTGATTTGTCTGCTAAAAACTCTCCAGCTTCTGTTGATCTCTCTCTAGTGCTGTTGCCCTGGACCAGATCCTGGGAATGATCATCATCTTGTCTGAGTGTACGCAGCATTTTGCTTCCCTCCATTTCATTCTCTGTACTGGACTGCAGAGTGATCTTTTTAAAAAAGAAATCTGATTTGCACTCTTCTGCTTAAAACCCTTTGATATGCTCTTGTCCACAAAGTACTGCTTGATTTAGTCCCTGTCTAGCTTGTTCCAGTCTTCCAGTGCTGTATTTCTCTGTTTGCTCTGTCTGGAACATTCTTTTCCCACCTTTCTTTGCTTAACTAACTTCTACTCATTTTTCAGTCTCAGTATAAATGTCATTTCCCAAGACAGCCTTCCTTGAGGTCCCTTTTAGAATAAGCTCACATAACACATTTGTTTTTCTTAGCACTTGGCACTAGCAATGAGTTGATTATTTAGTAGCTGTATATAACATTTATTGAGTACTTCCATTACACTGTGCTAAGTCTTCACATGGATCATCTCCTCATCTGTAAAGGAGCCCTGAGAGGGTAGTCCTGTTCTCATCCTTACTCTGCAGATGGAAAAACCCAGGAAGGTTAACTTGCTCAAGGTCACATGGTTAGCAGTAGCAGGGAATTCAAACCAGGTGATCCAATTCCAGAGCCTGTGCCCTGGAAGTATTATTAATAGGCTACCTTCCCCCACCTCTTCGCCTTGCCCCCAAGTTTATGTAATGTTTGTCTTTGCAAGATAAGGACAGAGACCTTGTCTGTGTTGTTGACTGCTACGTCACCAGCACAGAGCATAGCCCGGATGAACACTAAGTGGTCACTCAGTCAGTATTTGTTGACTGGCCCTCTTACAATCTACAATCTGTTTTGTAAATTTTTACAGGAAATTTTAGACCTAGAGGAAACCATTGGGATTCATTTTCCTGTCACTATCTGGTTTTTCCCCTCATTCCTTATATATATGAGAGTGGTTAGCATATTGTAAGCATCAAAGGTTAGGCTGATTTATTGATAGAAAGGCTGTGAGCACCGTGGGGCTTCAAAGAAGGTAATATTAATTTTTGGCATGCAGAATTGGGTAAATCTGCATTCCAGGGGAAACACTGGGTTAAAGTATGGGCTGGGATTTTAATGGTAGAAAGAGAGGAAGGCAAAGGCATGGTGAAATGACAGAAAAGTTAGAACTTGTAGAACCGAAGAGACACACAGTTAAGCAGGGAACATGAGACCAGATGTCTACTGCATACACTATATGCCAGACACTGTCGTTTGCAGTTCTCTGTGCTTTACTTCATTCTGACAACTCTGAAATACTTTTATCCCCATTTTTAAAAAGAAGACTAAGGTTAATACTATTAATCTTGCTAATTCCAGGGCATGACAAAATAATAATAATGATTGAAACTTTTTGCATTTAATACTTTTGTTCATGCTGTACAAATTATCTCCCATATCCACCTGGTTATTTGAACAAGTGTCTGGCTCATCAGCTGATTTAAAGAGACTGGTATCCTGTGGGCATTCATTCAACAAAGAATTTCTGTAACTTTTTTTTTCCCCTAAAAAAGGTTTGTTTCCAGTGGTACATTCTGAAACAACCCCTTTGGTCCTGTCTCCTTCACCTTGGTCTCCCTTGTCATTGTTAGTTGCCAGTTGAATTGATAGGGTTTTTTCAAGGCTGTGACCTTTTGGAAGCAGATCACCAGGCCTGTCTTCTGAAGCACCTCTGGGTCAGTTCAAACTGCCATCCTTTCTGCTAGTAGTCAAGCTCTTAACCATTTGCACCACCCAGGGACTGACTCCCTTAGGGCATTGTGAAAACTAGCCAACTCACAGCTAGCCTAATTGAGCTCTCTTTCATGGCTAATAAATCCATCATCATGTCTATTACAGGCTACTCTCCTACTTTCTTATTAATATTTAAAGATGAAAATAACATTTCATACTTAGGTAGTGTTTCACATTCATTTATATTAGTTGTTTAAGATGGGAAAGGCGGTATTGTTATTTCTGTCTCATATAGAAATATATTCAACTGGTAGGGATGCTTGTTTTCAGGGATCAGTAGGGGAGTCACAGTTAGCTCATCACCAACAAAGTTTACCTCTGAAGGCCACTAAAAAGGATCAAATAGGTGTCTGTGCTTTTGTAAATAATTAAAGGTGTGTGGATTCTATTCTCTACCCCCTTAAGACAACTGTTTAAATCATGGAAATGTATCTGTACCCACAATTAAATTAGATACCACAGTCGACAGATGCATAAAAGAAATGCCATGTTATTGAAGACTTTGGGAACTAGCCAGGTATTTTAATATTAGATAAAAATCCAACAGAGATGGAAAAGCAGCCATGTATTATACAGTCACTAAAATATTGTAATTAATGACATTAGGTTTGTGCTGGATCCTAGGCACCGATAAGCATTTAGGATCAAGTATCTCTTCTTTATTTGGTCTGAAAGCATTATAAATTACACTTAATTCCAGCTTTTTTCTCTAGTTGTCTGGACATTTTGCTATTTTAATTTAGATACTGTATTTTTAGTTTTTTATGCCCACAAATAGCCCCTTAACGTTTGGGGTATTGTTATTTGCAAAGCAGAAAGTTGATAAGTGCCTGATGATGCCTACGATTTGCCATGCTGGGGAGATGGAATAGAGCCAGTTCAGGGCTTATGACTTAGTTTTCGCCCCAGATTTTTCCTGTTGGAATTCTTTTAGCTCTGCAAAAAATTAATTAAACAGTCTTCTTTAAAATAAACATTTACTCTCATTCTTGACTATGCCTATACTTTTCTTTATATGCAGATCTCTAAATCTCCCAACCCTTCCTTTGTTTCTTTAAAAAATCAAAAAGTAGGAGGAAGAGAAAACTAACCTTTGACTAGAAGCAGAGGTGATGGGCTAGTTCAAAATATAGACTGCATAGGTACAGAACTGTGTGGGGAATCCATATGTTTCTATACCAAGCAACATTTTGAACCAAGACATTGTCTATTTTGGAACTTCTCTGAGATTGCAAAGAGAGTTTGCACCAGGTACAGAAGGGTTTGCTCTTCTTAGGGAGGGTTTGCACAGAAATATCAGACCTTAGCAGGAGAGCTGGAAGTGATGGGTACAGATGATTTCCAGTTGACTACCAAGCTGATTTTGGCTTTGATTATCATTTCAGGGATAAATTAGGTTGCAAGTCAGGATTGCCTGTACTTTATTTGAGGATTATGTAATTGAAAAGAAAGAGGCATGTGTTTTAGATTCATTTCCTTGTTTTCTTTTCTTATTGGTCTTATCCTTATGGAGGGTGGGTAGGGAGATCTTAAAAACTGACAAATTATTGAAAGGTTTCCAAATGGAGAAATAGAAATGTTTTCTTTGAGTAAGCTTAAGGCTATGAAAAATTTAACTGAACCATCCTCTGGCGGTTTTTGAATATTGAATCTATTATGGTTTTTAGTGCAACTTTTATTGAAGAGTGTTGAAAAGCTCTTTTCCCTCATAGATGGATGGTGACAGTTCTACAACAGATGCTTCTCAACTAGGAATTTCTGCAGACTATATTGGAGGAAGTCATTATGTTATACAGCCTCATGATGGTAAGAAAGCCACAGTTAGAAAAAAAATTGCAAGTAGAAACAAATTAGAAAGTGGAAATTATATTAATATAATGTTCTAGATTACTTTTTTCTTTCCAGGAAAATTAGCAATCTTGTGTCACAGTTCAGTGAAAGTCTAAAAAGATGTGCCATGCTGTTTTTATTAGTAGTCCTCAAAAGAGTGTTGAGTCCTAGAAAAAGGATTTTTCTGCTATAAAAGTATGCCTTTTTTTCACTTGTACTGTTTCTTGAAAAATGTATTGTTGATTCCTACATAAGTATTAAATACGACAAGTTCTTACTCAATTGACATGATAAATAGTTCTTTAGAGAGTGAGTTGTTACTAGTTGTTATATTTCTAGTGCTTATGTACAAGCTGATTTTTGTTTTTTATTCACTATTTAAACTATCTTAGGTATTAGAAAAGCTGGCTTATCAGAAAAAAAAATTTTGTAGCCTTCTGATTTGTAGAATTAAAAAAATTAAGATATGTTTTTGTAGAAGGCAATTTTTTTAGCAGGGAGGAGTTGATATTTCAATCTAAGGCATACACAAATTATTAATTTTGATAGCATTGTTTTAAACTCAGAACATGTAAATTGGATCAATTTAAGTGCCTTTCCTATTTAATACATATAAAGAGTGGAAAGTTTACTTATAGGATATTGCATTTAGCCATAAAAGGATGTTATTGATACTGTGAAAGCTTTAGTTATATCTAAATCTATATAACTTGAATTTTCACTTTTTGTAAGAACCATTGGGATACTGCTATAGCTTTGTTCAAAAACTAGTGACTATACTGAATTGTACATGGGCAAATTTTTTGTGTTTTTTATATATATATTCATATTCACCACAATAAAACAAATTAAAAAAAAACTAGTTACTACATTAATAATAATCCAAATGAATCAGTAATATTCAAGGTCAGTTTTTCCATTCTGAATAAACTTGACTTTGAATAAACATAAATCTAGTAATATTCAAGGAAGCTTAGGTTTAGTTTGAGTTTCATAGCTAAGTCATGCAACAACTGTTTACGAGTACCTTCTCTGTGGAAGGTGCTGTACCAGGTCCTAAGAAGGACGCAAGCTGACCCCCGGCATCAAGTAACAAAAATCTAATAGGGGAGCACAGAAACAGAATTATAAAATGTGTAAGAGAAAAGACACAGAGAAGCACTTGTGGTATTTTGTGGAAGGAGGGATCACTTCTGAAGGTGCTGTGGAGATGTCTTTTGAGCTTCTTGAAGAATGGGTAGGTAGGATTTTAGTAGGCAAAGTTGAGGATAAAAGTATTCTGAGCAGTAGGTTTGATATTAATGAGTAGGTTCAGTTTTGGCCCTGAGAAAATGGTGAAAAGAACTGCTATCCTAATTCCCAAAAGATCAGGAAATGAACTAGAATGGTTCTTATTCTAGATTGTTCCAGGTAGTCTTCTGTATCTTGAAGTAAAAATTGAGAAGCTTTAAACCTGAATTATTTTTCTTTAGATACTGAGGACAGCATGAATGATCATGAAGACACAAATGGTTCAAAAGAAAGTTTCAGAGAACAAGATATATATCTTCCAATTGCAAATGTGGCAAGGATAATGAAAAATGCCATACCTCAAACGGGAAAGGTAATTAGGTAGATGAGAAACTTAACTAGTGCTTGGGGTGAGGGGGAGGAAGGAGTGTAAAGCCACCTGGATATAGTTTATGAATACAACTAGCTATTGATTTTAGTCACTCAGCCTTTTAACAAATCAAATATTTCTTTCAATTCTACATACTTAGTTACTGAACCTGTGTTCTATTTTTAGTTCTGTCATGTCCCCAAATGCTCCCCCAGTTTATTAGGAGCAGATAACATAAAATTAAGAATCTTTTTTAAAAAAAAATAGGTGCATTGCTAGAACTGTCAGGTTTGGACATATGAAGTTTATAATTTTTATAATGTTGTAGTAGAATTGGGTCATAGGCTGATACTAGTAAGGATTTTTTTTTAAACTTTGTGTTGTGGAAACAATTATTTTTAAATAATTATAGATACTAACATGCCTTTAAATTCAAGTGGTATGATTTTTTTTTTTTTTTAAGTAGTTTTGTGGGAAGACAGATGTGGCTGTTGAGCACTTGAAATGTGGCTTGTCCAAATTGTCATATGATGCAAATGTAACATATACAGCAGATTTTGAAGACTTAGTATGAAAAAAATACTATGTCAATTTTTAAATATTGATTCTTTGTAGAAATGATAATACTTTGGATTTATTGGCTTAAGTATTAAAATTTAACTGTTTCTTTTTTCCTTTTTTAATGTGGCTACTAGAAATTTTAAAATTATGTACGTGGCACACATTGTTATCTTGCTTGACTGCATTTATGCAATTCTTGTTTGCTTTTCTGCAGTACATAAAGTAGGCATGGAGGTGAAAGTGTGTTTCAGCAAGAATTTCGAGTGTCACTCCTGATAGAAGTGACTTTGGAATTGCATGGTTTAGTCTTTTAGACCTTCACCTTCAGACTCTCAGACTCTTAAGACAATTATTTTTATCATGAGGTGGCAGGTGTGTGCTTCTAGATGTAGGCTTTTAAATAAACTCAAAATTTGTACTTGACACTTCGTATCTTCACTAGTAAAAAAGTCACCATATATCATTATTTCACTCTCTTCTAAGACTTAAGTGAATTCAGTCATCGTCTCCCTTCCTGCCTTTCTGGTGTCCTTACTCATGGAAATGCAGGGGCAGAGAAGTGATACTTAAGTCTACATATATACGTGACAGGATTGATTTTCTTCGGGCACTTGGTTAGTAAGTTTTCATTTTGTATGGAGTAGTAGGGACAGCCAGTGGTTGCTATTTTATACCTGTACCACTGTATATTTATGTCTTTTTTCTGTTTTCTATGAATATCTGTCGAGGCCTCTCATAATTTTGAGTTTTTATGCTGACTGAGGGTTGGAATTTTTTTTTTAAATAATTTTTGTGTGTGTGTTCAGAATATACACAGCAGAACATACATCAGTTCAATAATTTCTAACATACAATTCAGTGACAGTGATTACATTCTTCAAGTTGTACAACCATTCTCACCCTCCTTTTCCAAATTGTTCCTCCTCCATTAAGATAAACTCATTACCCCCTAAGTTTCCTATCTAACCTTTCAAGTTGCTGTTGTCAGTTTGATCCCATATGGGCAGTTCTTAAAAGAGCACAGTGCTGAAGGCAAACATTCTTTACTAATAAAGCTAAACTGTTGTTTAGTTTTAAGAAGACTTCACTTCAGGGGATATTTTTGGCTTAAGGTTTAAAAATTATGAGGGTTGAAATTTTGATAGCCCATGCTATAAAATTGTATTAGCATACAACTCAGAGATTAAAGGATAAGAGTCATAAAGTGGACATTGCAGTCTTTTGAGCAGCATTTTATTTTTTTGTGGGTTGTTAGGAAGTTGACAGTTACATTCCCTGCAAATTTACATGTGATTTTTTTCAGATTGCAAAAGATGCCAAAGAATGTGTGCAAGAATGTGTAAGTGAGTTCATCAGCTTTATAACGTCTGAAGCAAGTGAAAGATGCCATCAAGAGAAACGGAAGACAATCAATGGAGAAGATATTCTCTTTGCCATGTCTACCTTGGGCTTTGACAGTTACGTAGAACCTCTGAAATTATACCTTCAGAAATTCAGAGAGGTAAGTAGAATGTCTTCCATTATGCTTTAAAACAAATAATGTCCACTGTTCACTAACTTTTTAAGTATTATTTGTTAAAAATTCATTTTACAGCAAATTATGTGCCATTCCTCCGAAGAAATATGTAGTCATTTATCTTACTGTACCTTAATAGTAATTCCTTTTTTTCCTTTGTTTATTATTAACTGCAGCATAGTTATGTAATGATTAAGAGTATGGACTCTGGATTCAGACTAGGCTAAATCCCAGGTCTGCCAACATGAAGTCTGAGCTTGGGCAGATAATTTAAGTACTTTGAGCCTCGGTTTTCCCATCTGAAAGTAAGGCTATTAATAGTACCTACCTCACAGAGTTATTGAGAGGGCTAAGTAAAATAACCCATTTACAGCAGTTAGCTTGGCATATAGTGAGCACTCAATAAATGTTAGCTTCCTGCTCTTATTATTGTAGTTAATTCAAGAGAGATAGCATCTCAGAGCTTGAGGCCTTTTAGATAATGAAAAGAGGAAGTTATAACTATATCCGTTTCTTATTGTTGATTGAATTCCTTTACGTTTCCTATTAGGTTTATCTTTGCCTATGGTACGAACTTTCTAAAAATAAATTGAGGTCAGCTTATTTAATTCCACACTTTAACCTGGGTGTCAGATTCACATTACTTTCCAAGTATTTTCTTAAAACAGTATGTTTAGTGTTAAGATCCAGTTAAATTAATGATACCTGCATGGAATGATTAAAGTAGGTAGAGAATGAGTAAATCCCTCATATTACTTTTCCAAATCTTTAGTATCATAGAACCTTAGAGTGAACAGAATCTTAAGAGGTCTTTGGTTCAAATTTTATATAAAAAACAAAAACCAAACCCATTGCCATCGAGTTGATTCCAATTCATAGCAACCTTATGGGACAGAATAGAGCTACCACATAGGGTTTCCAAGGCTGTAATCTTTACGGAAGCAGACTGCCACATCTGTCTTTCGTGGAGTGGTTGGTGGGTTAAATTGCTGACCTTCCGTTGAGCACCTGAGCACGTAACCACTGTGCCACCAGGTCTGTTTTTATATATGTATATATATACACACACACATATGTATATATTTATATAAAGTTAACTGATAATACATATACACTATATGTAAAATAACAGTTGATTATAGGTTCCTAAGTCCTTTTGGTATAGTAAGTGTCTTTTTGTAGTAGATTTATAAACTGAATATCTATGGTATTTTGTATACTTCTTTATCTGTAAGTAAATAGAGTTCTATTATCCCTTTGATGTGTTGCAGAATTAGAATAATTTTGTTTTCTGGGTCATTTGCTGACACTATCTTGTAATGATTACTGCTTATATAAAGTTAGCATTTTGAAGAAACTCTTCATATGTAATTAACCAGAAATGTTAATAAACATTCTTGAATGTTTGTAATAATAGAAGTTCCTAATTTTAGGCAGTGAGCATTCTCATTTGGAGAACAGTTTCATTTGACTACCAGTGACTACTTTTTCGGTTTTGTTCTTCCAGGCTATGAAAGGAGAGAAAGGAATCGGTGGAACAGTTACAGCCACAGATGGACTAAGTGAAGAGCTTACAGAGGAGGCATTTAGTAAGCACTGTTAAGATACATTATGCAACTACATTTGTTCTTACAAGTCATGTACATTGTTCACACTGATTACTGCTAAACGTCTGTAGTGGTATTTTTGGACTATCAGCACTGAATATTTTGAGATAGTACTATGTTCAATAGTTCTTATTAATTCATGCCTTTATGTTTGAAGTTAGTGAATGATAAGCATAGAAATTTTAATCTTGCAGGCATAATTCTTCACTGATAGTTCTGGCTTTCCATAGTCCCTAATTTTTGGTGAAGATTTGTGTGAGATAGGAATATTGAGAACTGTAGTTTATAATATAAATATCTTGTGATTTCACTAAATTTGAACTGAAGATTTCTTTTTAAAGATTGAATATCTTATATTAGTGAAATGAAAAGTCTATGGTGATTGTATTTTTCATATAAAATATATCTGCATATATTTATATATATATTTCTCTTATATAAAATGTGCCGCATAACATGGTTTATTTAAGTGTTGCTTCCAGCCAAGTCTTATGGTGTGGCTGTAACCATGAACCAGAAACGCCATGCCAGATTTATACACATGGGTGATTAGCTAAAGTACACGTTAGGGATATGAAGATTCAGAAAGTTGAAGAATGTAATAGAAAAAAAATGTGCTTTTGAGGAAGCATTTTTAAAAATGGGAAATTTGGGAGTTCATGATTTTGCCCAAGATTACATTGAGAAGTAGCAGAACTGTAATGAGACATTAATGGCCAAGAAAGTAGATGCAGTTCTTTTCTCTTTAACTTTTTTTTTTTTTTTTGTCTTTTAGCTAACCAGTTACCAGCTGGTTTAATAACTGCAGATGGTCAACAACAAAATGTTATGGTTTACACAACATCATATCAACAGGTACAGTACCATGTTTGTATTTTAAAAAATGTATTATATCCACTGATTTTTATCCCAGGTAGTTAATTTGAGCACATTATTATTATTAAGGACCTGGTAAAATAGAGAAGATTGTTAAAAATTGTTTTCTCAAAATATATAACTATCTCTTAATGGTTAAAAATATATATAACGTGTTTATGTTTGCATAGGGAGCCCTGGTGGCGCAGGGGTTAAGCACTTGCTGGTAACTGAAAAGTCGGTGGTTCAAAACCACCAGCAGCTCTGTGGGAGAAGGATACAGCAGTCTGCATCAGTAAAGATTACAGCCTTGGGAAAACCATATGGGGGGCAGTTCTACTCTGTCCGATACAGGGTCGCTATGAGTCAAAATCTACTCTGTGGCACTAGGTTTTGGTTTTGGGTATGTTTGCATAGATGAGTTTAGAAAGATAGACAAGAAGTTAAAGTAGTACAAGAAGTTAAAGTAGCTGCCTCTGGGTATAAGGAATGGAGATCTGGGGTGGAAAGGGGACTTATTTTTCATTGCCTATTGTTTTTATTTTTTGAATGTTATAACATGCATATGTTACTTTAACGCTTTTTTCCTTTAAATCCATGCAATTTAAAATTTCTGTTCTTAGATTTCTGGTGTTCAGCAAATTCAGTTTTCATGATCTGAAGAAATGATGGAATGGGGAGTGTTGAAAAAGGAAAGAGGCTGTATGATTGCAAAACAGAGACCTTAGGAAGAAGTTGACTGGTGAAGAGATGTCTCTTTGTATATTAAATAGCTGTAATGTAGCTTCCTGATGCTTGACTAATTGAGGTGTTAATTCTGACTTGAGAATCTTTTTCATGAATGATTTTAAAGAAAAATTGGATTTTAAAGGTATTAAAATATTTTTGTTTTGTATGAGAGTTTGTTGCTCTGTATGACTCCTGTATGCATTGTATATTGCAATTTATTACTGTCAAGAGATTTGTAGACAGTTTCTTATTTTCATATTGAATCATGTTACTTTTGTAATTCAAGTAAGCAGCTGGGTTAATTCATGATGTTTGCCCTTTTAATAAAATATAAGGGTAGAGTTCATTTTGAATGCAAGTTGCCTTTATTATAAATTTGAGTTTGTCTTGGTTATATAATATCTTGCATGATAATCTAGCTAGATTTTTAGCTTTTGATGTATTTATTAAAATTGAAATTCTTTTTTTTTTGTAAAACATTCTTAGCTTAAGCAGCACCATTTTTAAAAAAAATGTAATTGAAAAATTCAGTGTGAATACAGAAGCAAATATTGTCTACCCTGTTAAACTTGGTGCCCATAAACAGTGTTTACACTGTTCATTGTGCCTGTTATAAATAGTTATTGGAGCTTTTTGTTAACACTAGATTTGCTTTTGAGTTATATTATTATGAGTGTTGGAATTCACTTAAGTTTAATGTAGTCCCAGTGCTCCTGAAATGGCGCCCCGTTCATTTTGTATATGCTTTTTACAAAGCATATCTTCAAGTACTATAGTATTTGAATTCCAGAAGAGGAATTTTATAGTCTGATGGTAAATATCCTCAATTTACCTTTTTAATTGAAATGTCAAGTTTCCTATTATACTCTGGGAACCAAGAAACGTCAGACTCATTGTGTGTACATACCTTTTGCATGGATGGATGAATGAAATGAAGAACAGAGTGAATGCTATTGAATGTTGTGAAATAGAAGCCTCCATCTTCTACTGTGCTGTCTTGATCTTTGCAATAAACTAAACTTAGATAATGTAATTTTGTATAATTTAGTAGTATGTACTTGAGTTGCTCCTTTTTCAAGGTGGATCTGTATTTTCTCATCTATTTTTGGTGATAATTAACTTGAGTTTTTTGTTTTTAAGTATCAATTATTGCTGTTGTATAGTTTGAGTGAATGTCATCTTTGAAGGACACTCAAATTTATAAGGTTGAAGTGATTTCCCAGATACGGGCTGAAAAAAAAAAAAACATTTACTTTGCTTGAAGGAGCCTTTGGGGACATATTTGGGCTAATCTGAGGTTAATTACTTCTCTCAAACCTCAACCCCCATTTAAAATACAATCATTCAGAGAAAATTCAAATAGGGAAATAAAGGGGGATGGGATTAAGCAAAATCAACTATCATCCTACTATGCTGAAATATAATGTCAATATTTTGGTAAATAGCATTTGTCCTCATACTTTACTAAATATATATATTTTTTATAAAAATGGGCTCATACTGTACATAATGTTTTATAACCTGCTTTTTTCACTTAATTTCTGAATATCTTTCTAGGCCATTACATAGTCTTCTACATTATTTTTATTGGTTTATTATTCTCTTGTATGACTGAACCATAATTTATTTAATCCTGTATTGGACATTTCAGCTATTTACACATCACTGAATCTTGTGCACATCCACGACCGTTTTCTTAAATTCTTAGAATTACTGGGTTAACATACAAAATTTTAAGGCTTTTGATACTTATATATGGGTATGTTTTTGAAATATATTCGTTTTGATCCAGGCAGTCTGTCACTATATATAACTGATAAATTCACTTGGTGTTTGGTTGTCAGATCCTTTCTCTAAAATCAGTTCAAAGACTGGACTACGTTTGAGTAAAGAATCAAGATAAAACAGCTAATATTAAAAAATACTTAGTGAAAAGGAATTTGACTATTTTAAAATTTGTGTAAGTATATATACCAGAACAAATTTCTAAAATTAATAATTTGCTGGTACTACTAAAATGTTAAATCAGGTGAATTTTGGGTTATATGGCTTTCATACTCTGACAGAAAAGAAAATTTAACATTCTGTATGTATCAGGTACAGAATCTCTATGCATGTGAGAATTAGTGTTGGCTTTTTACTTGGCCTATGTTGCATTTAACTGAATGTCATCCCCCCCTCTCCAGGACTTCTTAAGTATGGAAGCTCCTACATTAACCTAAAAATGCTTTTTATAATTTTGTAAATATTCTATTTATGAATATCTAAGAGAAATGGGTTTCAGTGCAGTGACTTAAGTCAGATACAGGAAGGAACAAGAGTAGCCTCTATCCATCCCCTTACTACCTCACTGTAGCAGAGATGCTTTAGTCCAGAGAGGATTTTAAAAAAAAATTTTTTTTTATTGTTGTAGTTTAAATGAAGTTTACATTTCAAGTTAGTCTCCCACACAAAAATTTATACATACATTGTTACTTGACCCTAATTGCTCTCCCCATACTGTGACAGTGCACTCCTTTCCACCCTGGATTCCCCACGTCCATTCAGCCAGCTCCTAACCCTCTCTGCCTTTCCATCTCACCTCCGGACGGAAGCTGCCCGTTTAGTCTCTTGTATCTACTTGAGCTAAGAGGCACACCTCATGAGTATCACTTTATCTCCCACAGTCCAGTCTAATCCCTGTCTGAAGAGTTGGCCTAGGAAATTGTTTTAGTTCTGGGCTGATACAGAATCCAGGGGCCATGCTTTCTGGGGTTCCTCCAGTCTCAGACCAGTAAGTCTGGTCTTCTTACTAGAATTTGAGTTCTCTACCGCACCTTTCTCCTTTTCCATCTGGGACTCTGTTGTGTTCCCTGTCAGGGTGGTCATTGGTGGTAGCCAGGCACCATGTAGTTCTTCTGGTCTCAGGCTGATGAAGTCTCTGGTTTATGTGGCCCTTTCTGTCTCTTGGGCTAATACTTTCCTTGTGTCTTTGGTGTTCTTCATTCTTCTTTACTCTAGGTGGGTTGGGACCAATTGATGCATTTTAGATGGCCGCTTGCAAACTTTTAAGACCCCAGACGCCACTCACCAGAGTAGGATGCAGAACATTTTCTTAATAAGTTTTGTTATGCCAATTGACCTAGATGTTCCCTGAAAGCATGGTCGCCAGACCCCTACCTCTGTCTCTCAACGTGTTTGATTGTATTCAGGAAACTTCTTAGCTTTGGTTAGTCCAGTTGTGCTGACTTCCCCTGTAGTGTGTGCTGCCCTTCCCTTCATCTAAGATAATTCTTATCTACTATCTAGTTAGTAAATAACCTTCAACCTCCCTCCCCACCCTCGTAACCATCAGAGAATGTTTTCTTCTGTGTTTAAACCTTTTCTTGAGTTCTTATAATAGTGGTCTTTTACAATATTTGCCCTTCTGTGACTGACTAAATTCACTCAGCATGATGACTTACAGCATCCTCCATGTTATGTTTCATGGCTTCATCGTTGTTCTTTATTGGTGCATAGTATTCCATTGTGTGGATATACCATAATTTATCCATTTGTCCACTGATGGGCATCTAGATGGTTTCCATCTTTTTGCTATTGTGAACAGTGCTGCAGTGAAGATGGGTGTGCATATATCTATTTGTGTGACGGCTCTTATTTCTCTAGGATATATTCCAAGGAGCGAGATAGCTGGATTGTATGGTACTTCTATTTCTAGCTTTTTAAGGAAGCGCCAAATTGATTTCCAAAGTGGTTATACCATTTACATTCCCACCAACAGTGTATAAGTGTTCCCAGTCTCTCCACAACCTCTCCAGCATTTATTATTTTGTGTTTTTTTGGATTAAGGCTAGCCTTGTTGGGGTGAAATGACACCTCATTGTAGTTTTGATCTGCATTTCTCTAATGGCTAATGATTATGAGCATTTCTTCATGTGTCTGTTAGCCGCCTGAATGTCTTCTTTGGCGAAGTGCATATTCATATCCTTTGCCCATTTTTTAATTGGGTTATTTATCTTTTTGTTGTTGAGGGTTTGCAGTATTTGTAGATTTTACAGATTAGATGCTGATCGGATTTGTCGTAGCCAAAAATTTTTTCCCAGTCTGTAGGTTGTCTTTTGACTATTTTGGTGAAGTCTTTCGATGAGCATAAGTGTTTGATTTTTAGAAGCTCCCATTATCTAGTCTTCTGGTGCTTGTACATTGTTACTTATGATTTGTATTATGTTTATGCCATGTATTAGGGCTCCTAGTGTTGTCCCTATTTTTTCTTCCATGATCTTTATCGTTTTCAATTTTATATTTAAGTCTTTGATCCATTTTGTGTTAGTTTTTTGTGCATGGTGTGAGGTATGGGTCTTGTTTCAGTTTTTGCAGATGCAAATCCAGTTATGCCAGCACCATTTGTTAAAGAGGCTGTCTTTTCCCCAGTTAACCGGCTTTGGGCCTTTGTCAAATATCAGCTGCTCATAGGTGGATGAATTTATGTCTGGATTCTCAATTCTGTTCCATTGGTCTATGTATTTGGTGTTGTACCAATACCAGGCTGTTTTGACTACCGTGGCGGCATAATAGGTTCTAAACTCAGGTAGTGTGAGGCCTCCCACCTTGTTCTTCTTCTTGAGTAATACTTATTCAGGGCCTCTTCCCTTTCCATATGAAGTTGATTTGTTTCTCCATCTCATTGAAAAATGCTGGTGGAATTTGCGTCAGGATTGCATTGTATCTGTAGATCCGCTTTGGGTAGAATTGACATTTTCACTATGTTAAGTTTACCTTTCCATGAGCAAGCTATGTTTTTCCACTTGTGCAGGTCTCTTTTGGTTTCTTGCAGTAGTGTCTTTTAGTTTTCATTGTATAGGTCTTTTACGTCTCTGGTTAGATTTATCCCTAAGTATTTTATCTTCTTGGGGGCTATGGTAAATGGTATTGATTTGGTAATTTCCTCTTCAAGGTTCTCTTTGTTGGTGTAAAGGAATCCAACTGATTTTTGTATGTTTATC